AATTTTATAAAATTCAAAGTTCTCAAAAGGCGGAAAAAGTCTTCGACCAAGAGGTAAAAATCAGGCAGAGGTCACGGATTTCCAAGTCCAGAGTGTTTTATTGCAAAACACAGCATACACACTGAGCTGCTCTCCGGAAAAACAACTGACAATACAATGAAACAGCTTCCCTTTTATACATTTCAAGCTATGGGGCTCCTCCCCCAAGCTCCTCCTTTCTTTTTCATCATTTTACATGCATTTCTTCGGTTAAGTCTAATTAATTTTCTTTTATCGGTGGAAAGTCCTTTTCAAAACACATTTTTTTATATATTTAATCAACAAACACTTTATTACATGTCATGATTTTTTTTCTTATAAGTCATAATAACATATGTCGCTATTTAATCATCAACCATTATTTTCCAGCTATTATTATTTCAAAACACAGTTTTCAGTTTAGTTTTTATTATTTTAAAGCAATGTTTTCATCCAGTAATTATGATTGTAACATTTCACATAAAACTATTCAGTGATCTATGCTTGCAACATTTCACATTGAACTAGGGTGTTCAAAGTTTCAGTAAATCATTACATTAGTACTGCTCAGGGTGTGTGTGTGTGTTAAAACCAACAGCTCCCGTTATCACATTTGTTTAACTAAGCTGTGTACAGCTGCACCAATGTTCCACCAACCGGCCTTATCCTGACTTTCCTGCTGCTTCTGAGGCCTAAATGACCTTGGCCATTTGCCCTTCTGTTGCTGTACTCAGAACATTATTGATCCCAACCATCTGCTGTGCTCAGAATTCCATTTTTCCTTAGAAACCTACCCTTGCAAAAGCTGCACTTTAGGATTATTCATTAACAGTCTACTCCTGCAAAGGTGCACTATCTAATCAGCCTTATTTGTAAAGCTGTACTGCTCGCAGCTCAGACTTTTCCATGTTAAAATGGTTAGACCTTTAAACCAAGCCCTTTATTCAATGTAACAGATGACATGCATACAACTGTAATCATATTACTTTAATCATAGGTGCACACTAATTCTCTACAAGGTCTAGCAGAAATGAATTGTTACTTTTATGTTATCTGAGAGCTGTAGCTTTCTCCCCCCTCCCTGAATGCAGCTCTGAGGTATGTCACTAGGGATTCTAATAAATTGTTAGGAGAGCTTTGAGGCTGGCAGAGTGGTTTTGGAGATTGTAACTGTACGGTTTCTGACTACTCTCCTCGCGAGTAAAAAAGAATTCCAACTCAGTGTCTTTATTTCCTTGTGTTACAGTGTTTTAGGTGTTTTAACATGACATGAAGTTATTTTCTTTTTCAAGACAACTGATAAATTGCGCTTTTTGTCCCGCTTTTTTTTTTTCTGCAAGGCTTAAAAGGGGATCATTAGTTCTATCATGGGTACACAACCTCGTCCGACATGATTTCTTGTCAGATCGGACGCAAAATGGGATTAGGTGTGTTACAGCCTTTAAAGCAATCATACTTTTCCTATTATTGTTAAAATATTTAATATTTCCATTTATAACGATAATTTATGTTTGACGATTAGGTTTTAGTTTGCGTTGTAATCATATTTTTGAACAGGCAGGATTTTTAGAAGCATAAATCGTAAAAATAAAGCTTTATTTATTTATTGATTATAGATACTTATTTTATCTTATTCTATCCTGATGAACACAAATGTTGCATTCAATTATGTTTCCTCATACATTCATATTAAAATGTATACATCTCATTTCATATGTGCTTAAAATCTCATAATTGAATATTTATTATGTCCAAAGCTTCTGTCAGATAAAAAAGGATAACATATTCACTTTAACTTCTACCTTTATCTGTACCAGTTAATTATATTTTCTTCTCATTTATGGAATACATAATTATGAGCACAACAACATGTTTATTGTTTTCAAGCCAATTATTTATGTTATTCAACCTTCAGCTTGGGTGAATATTATTATTTTTTTAAAACACAAGTGTTAAAAATGCATGAATATTAATTATAGCACAATCCTCCGTGCCTATGAGAACCAGAGTGGTATGCTCAGCTCTGAGTCCCGCTGAGCCGGAGCTGAAGTCTCTTAAAGTCTGCTTACGATCAGTCAGTTATGACTGACCGTTTCAGAGAGCTCGTTCCAACCTGCCTAAGGTGTGTTGATGGTGAGCAATCCTGTCTAGGCAGAAGGACAGAACCACATCTCCTGTAGCCAGGAGAGACATGAAAGCATTGGGCTGTGCTGTTAGGACACTGCCCAGGAAATTGGAGCACTGCTATTAAAAAAAGAAGCCATATTGATTAAAAAAATCCCTCACCAAGGAAACTCCCCAAAAAGATCCAAAACCGCCCCTAGTGACTTTAATATTCACTCTTGGAATAAGCTGGGATGTTTAGTTAAATTTGATCTTTACGAATTTTCTCCAAAAAACAAACTAATTGAAGTCACATGTAGGATTTAAGTAAATGTGTGGATAATAGATTATGAAACCCACTTTTTATTACTTGTATTGATGGTTGTAAAATAATCTTGGTGCATGGTTCATGTAATTATCATGAGGTCTTTAATGGTTGCCTGTGGCAAAACCCAAGTTAAAAACATCATCTTTTGGGACTTATAGCCACTTAAACCGTATTTAATCTAAGTCACAAGTGTAACTGTATGAGGATAAGAGCGACCCGTAATTGGGCATGATCAACAAGAATAAGATGGCCTCAGGCTATGAAGTTGTTGACTTGTCTACTGGTTAGTCTACTGGTTTCCTAAGGCCAAACGCTTGGCCCTAGGAAACGCTTTGATCAGGCAAGTCCTACCCAGCAGAATAGATCTCACAGGGACTCTAGGCAGGCTAATACTGGTATGGATTCATATTTCTTCCTTGGCCTTATAAAATGTTAGTGTGCCGTTTATTCCTTGCATATCAACTCTCAGTGCTCATTTTTACTCCACACTGGTTAGGTCAAGAGATCTTAGAACCCTGGTATGTTTGAGCTATAACCCAGCACGAGGAGGAGGAGCTGGCCTTGAATAAGACAACAATAACCTGGCATAAACCAGATTGATAGGTGTTGATTTCAAGCTGAACTACACAAATCAATCTAGAAAGCCTCCTGTAGAAAGTGCTCGCAAAAGGGAGGAACATTCAGTACAATTCTTTGAGCTGAACCTGCTTCCCATGTCAAGTTTTTAGCCAATCAAAGCAGCAGTAGCAGCTTGGTTTGTTTCTTGAATAGCTGAGTTAAGGGGGGAACGTGCAAACATCTTCTCATCCGCAAAGGCAAAAATCAAATCCTTTTGCCCGTTAAAAAAATAGAAAAAAAGAGGGCATTCCATCTAAAACCGGTGCAGCAATGTTTGTTTTGCTTCACTCTTCACCACTGGTTGATGCGTTGATAAACACGTCACTGCACATCATTGGTCTGAAACATTTCTGTATTGAGGCCAAACGCATCTGCTGGCTTCTGGCGATGCATTTTTGGGAGTTTGCGAATTCACAAATCTCGTCATAATTAATTTTGCTTCCAAGGTAATGACAATAACAGTACAGAGCTGGAAGGACTTCAGCATCCTGATGAAAATGTTTTTCTTAGCAAGTTATCCTGGATATAAACAATCTGTTTGAGTTTCTTACACATCTGCATAGTTAGACCACATGTATAAGAAAGCATTTCAAATCTTTTAGAAAGTTTTTTGGAAGCAGAGGATCTGTGCTCTGCCACTTGAAGAAAATCCACAAGGGTGCTTCTTCAAAACTACAACAATTTAATATACATGTTTCTAATATTTCCAGTGTATTTCATCAGTATAAAAACTGACTGACCTTCTTGACCTCTTGTTTCTTCTTCTTGACCTCTTGTTTGCAGGAAGGTTTCTTTGACACTCTGTTTGGTTTAACGTGTGCTTGGGCAGCGGTTTGAAACAGAAGGTTGGGTTCCTGCGATTTCTGGATCACTTTGTAGAGGAAATCCCGAAGACTTGCTGAAAAGTCAGAAAAGTGAGGACCCAGGTTACACAAAATCTTCAGTGACAGAAAAGGGAATAAAAGACAACGTTTAAAGAAGCTACAGGTTAATGAAATCCCACCTGAAAGGAAAACTTGTTTTGAGATTTGATTGTACATTGCTTCCTCCAGATGAACCACCTGAAGACAAAATAACAGTGGTTACTGAAAAGCTTTATTTCATTTGATCTTTTTTTTTTTTTTCCATTTTGCCTTATACATAAATTTCAACCTTTTAACAACTACCAGAAAATACCAATAGTGTTCTGCTGAAGTCCATATATTTCATTGTTCCCCGGCAAATCCAAAAGAAAATGCTGGTTTTTCCAGCCTCATCTTTGGTTGTAGGTTTTATACAATTCCCAATAGAAGTAGGAACAAAAATCCTGACTAATGTAGAACCAATTGTCAGAACAAATAGCAGACCATAAATTTGCAACAACAGAAAAATTAAAATACATCTTTCAACACCATTTCCCAACAGATGGTAAGGATGTTCATCGGCTAATGAGACTAGAAGAAGTTAAAGCCTTGGCTGTGGCATACCCTCACCAGTACGCTCATCTTCGGGTGGTTGGCTCCCTTTCCGTGATTGTTGATGTCCTTCTTTGGAATCTTAAGCAAACAGTGCCCACAGAGGTAGATTGCTTCATGCTTGCTGCAGCGGCATTCAATGCAGGTTCTTGAAACTGAAACACAGGCATGGAGACTTTAGAAGCAGCTACTTCTTATAATGTTGCTATAAGGAATCAGACTCAGTAAAATGGAGACAACTTTGAAATAAATGGAGTTAGGTAAGATGAAACCAGGTTTAATTAACACTGACCTCTCTCCATAACGTCCTTATCAGGCACTTCCCCATCAGATGTTTCTGTGTTTTTCACTGCTGAGCAAATATTTGACTTATCTGTAATTTCTTCAAAACATGACTCCTGTTTGAAGACTGGCTGCAGCGTCTTTGGGCTCATTATGCTTCCATTTTGACCTGCATTATTCAGTGTTTTTTCGGGTGTACTTGACCTTTTTATCTCATTTTTTTGGGGACTTTCTTTCAGCAGAGTTGTTTCCTGTTTGATACTTGAGCTCTTTTCTAGTTTAATGGGTGGATCATCATTCTTTTCAGCATTTTCATGACTCTGAGCAGCCTCCTCCTTTGGTTTTTCATCAACAGGTTCCTCTGTTTTTAGCTTTGCTGGCAGCTCTGCCTCAGGTTCTTTTTTAAAATCTTTTGGACTCGTTTTTGGGGATCCTTCCTTTTCTGCAGCACCCTCTGTTTCTCCTGATGGCGTCTCCTTGTCACTGCCATGTTTGTCTTCACTCCCCCCACTTTCTTTTGCGTCAGTGTCAGGGCTTTTTGTCCGGGCATCTGTCTCTTGCTGTTTGTTGGTGTTTTTTGGACTTATCCTAGAAACTAACATGCAGAAAATAGATAAGGTATATTTAATTTCAGCTTTAAGATAATAACCTCACTAGTAAAATTAAAGACATTAAATTTGCACAAAAAAATAATATAGTATTAGTGTAATAGTATATTATAGTATAATATTATAGTAATATGATTGTGAACAATCCTCCAGATCAGGGCTGTTTAAAGAGTTGCCCGGGGGCAATTGTGTGGCCCTTCAGAACAGACGGCTTTTAAGGGAAAAGTTTCATTTTGATATTTAGGATCAGTTTTGAACTAAAATTTCTAAATTAAGAAATTTCAAATAAAAACAGAAGGTATTTTCTTTGATAATTTTTTTCAGCTTTTATTTCAATTGCATAATTTACTAAAAACATCCAAGCGATCCAAAAGAGGATTAGCTTTATCGTTTTAAATAACCTATGCAAAATACAGTACCTTTAAAAAAAATAAAATAAATGGGTGCCCCACAGTTATTGTTGCTGAGAATAAAAAAATATTTTTTAGACCAAAAAAACTGGGGGGAAAAAAAACATCAAAATTGAAGGCTTTGTTTTTATTAAGAGATCCATTCATATGCAACATGTAATAGTTCAAAATCTCACACAAAAATCAAATGTTTTCTTTTGTTTGGCTGAATTAAACAATGAAATAAATTTTTTGATTTCATTGACCACTGCTTCGGGCCATTAGGTGGGGCTTTCCAACCCAGCGGTTCTGCTGTTAATCCAGGACCAATCACTAAAGTCACTTCTAAACTGATGCGGTGAGAAACTGTTTCTTTTGCTAAAATGTGTCTTGTAGAATATTTTCACATCATTTTTAAACTAAATAAAGATAAAAAACACAAACAAAAAAAATAAATATTGGCAGTAAGTAATGCTCTGTTAAAACCAGTACTAAGTGTAAAATTTTGCTCTTTCATTGCTTTGACCTCATTTAGCTGACCTTCAGTAAAAAAATAAGTTTCGTTCACCTTCGTACCATACATCTCTCAACAGGGCTTTTTTTTTTGGCTTACCCAGCCTATACTTTGACTTTATTTGCGGAACAAGGCTTCCTTCTCTTCGTCTCCTCTTTACTGCTGCCAAGATCTTTTTTGCTAGAATAAAATAAGAACATTTGATAAGAGAAAATCTAGTTAAAAACATCAAGAAAAAAAGAAAAATTTCTTTAAATTGAAAGGCTCACCTATTTTGTAGTCGCATGGCTCCTTGATTGGCTCGTCCATGTAAAAATTCTTAGAGGGAAGGTGAAATTAATACCAAATAACATAGCTGAAACCTGATGTCAGTTGGACAGAACCATAGTTGTATAGATGAAATACCTGCACATCTGACTGAGGATGAACCCGTGCTGCCTGTTTTGCCAAGTCCAGAAGTGTCTCTGCATCGGCACGGCTGGAACTCAGTGAACCCGGATGGAAAGCATCCTGCACAGAAACAAGAAACATGAAAACATAGAATACACAATTCCTGATGAAAATCAAAGTCTAGAAACCACATGAAAAACAAAAAAAGGAGCTTGCTGGCATTTGTTATTCTGGCAACTAACTTCAGTCCAGTTTTGACAACTGCTTACTTTGGACAATATCCCAACAGTTTTAATATTCACCGCAAAAAAGTAAAATTTTTAAGCACATCAAAAAAGAGCCTGGATAATAAAAAATGTATCAAAATTTAAAGGCCTGAAAAATGAATGATCTCAGCAGCTACAGACTTTAACATGAAAAGATGCATTTATCCTGATTCCACTACTCATAGTCTACTTGTTTAGAGGCCAAAACAGAAGACAGCTGCACTGTGCAAGATAGCATTCTAATACACGTTGATAGGCCCACGCTTTAAACCAGCCCCTGACCCTGGCACACAAAGCACAATCAAGGGCAAGAAGCAGAGATTAAGAATTCTGAAGTAGACACAAGAAAGGTTTTCTCTCCACAAATTAGATCTAAAGTCTGAACATATTTATCACCAACTGTAATTTTTTTTCTAACCATGAACAGAGAAACAGATGTGGGTGGACAAGAAAAGTGTATAAAAGATTCTGTAAGAGAAGACTTCAGGGCTGTGCTTTTCTCTTTCAGGTAACAGGAATAAACCCATAAAGGCAAAGATTACATTTCTTCAATAAATTCTCAAAAAAAAAATGTGATGTGCTTTTGTTATTTTTATTCAACACAAGCAAGCCAATAATGGTAAGTAAATAAGAAGGCAAATTAAAAAAAGCAAGAAAAACAGATATAAAAGTTGAAAAGGGTGTTCTAAATATAAATAAAAAAATGCTAGAAATAGGAAACTACGTAATGTAGGGTTTGTTTCTCATTTTAAATGTAAAGAAAACCTGACTGCATTGGTAAATTGCCTCAATTACTTATTTACATCATGTGCAAAGTTATTTAAAGAAAAAAAATTTACTTTCACACATTTTGCAAAGCAAGATGATAAAATATTAACTCCGATTATAAATGATTACATAAACAGGTAAAATAGTAAGAGATTATAGAAAATATTCATACATGCAAGTATATAAATAATAAAAAATAAAGTTTTTCATTGTCCTGCAATATTAATGTAATACAATATTTATTATATGATCAGGACAGTTTGCTTTTGTTTTTAAACTTTCCAGTTGATCCAATGCCAAACAAGTAAAATAAAATAAATAAAAGGAAACTGACCAGAAATTTTGATACATGTTCCCGACTGAAGATATGAGCATCCATTTCATTGCCTGTGAGCCTCCTTTCACAGAGCAAACACAAACTTCCCATCACCTGCTTGTTTTCACTCACAACCAGGTTGTGTGTCACGAGGTGCTGTTTGCCTGCAAAAACACAACAATTACAGTCCTAATCAACACTATGCATCACTGGAATATGATGTGCATCTACCTGCAAAGTCACCTTATGGATTTCAAATGATGTAGCCTTAGGTTTTGAATGGTTTATAAAAGAAACCAAATTAAAAGAGAGCAGGGCCCCAAACGCGCACTTCACTTTTATTGCCTTATTTATTCAATTTAATCCAATAGAACAGAAACTTTGTGTGACAGCAGGGATGAGAAATGATCTCACATGCATACTACACGTTCAAAAGAGATAAATGAGATGCAAATTCACCTTTCAGTGCAGCAGTTAAAGCTTCACAAAAATAAAAGAAAAATTCCTTTTAAACTTAATGTAAGGAGAGCATTTAACAAACAATTTCTTATCTTTAAAAAAAAAATAAAAAAAAATCCATTGCCTACATTTTCGTAGCTATTTCATCAAAGCCTCTCATGGGGCAACGAGAAAGATATCTCATTTGACATAGTCGATTTGCTCATGACACGCATCCGTTAACGTGCAAACTGACAGCTGCCTAAGGGAGTACACTGCCGTATATCAAAGCCTTCACAAACTAAAACTGTGACAAACAAAGCAGGACAAGAATCAAAGTTTATCTTTCAACCAATTTTTCTAATTTGGTGAATTTTTTTGTTCTTTGCTTCAGAGTTCAATTAAAATATAAAGAAGTGGGTATACTCACTACCACCTGTATATCACTGTTTGCTAATCTTTCCCGCAGTAAAAAGAAGAAAAAAAAAAGATATTTTGTGTTGTTTTAACCGTTTGACAGTGACTCAAAATGAGTCGGTCAGTTACGTTGATGTGTAATGGTCCAAAGCAGGACCTGCAGCGGTTGAGAAAGCATGAGAAGCGTTCATATAACTTCAAGAGGCTCTGTTTTATTATGTCCAAACATTTTTTTTTGTGTGCTTCTGGATACTGTCATGGTGTAACTGCATGGTGTTTTTATGCAAATACAAAAGTAAAGTTTTGTTATTAAATCTATATCAAAAGCATAAAGTTACTAGCTAATGTACACAAACCGTGGTGCCAATAAAGTAGAGTCATTTCATGTTATCTCAACTAGGCTGACGAGGCAGATTAAAACCTTCAGAGCGTAAACTGTATGAGGTGCAAAACAAAAATGGTCATTGGAAGATCGTTTTTCGATAATAATGAATAGTTTAGTCTTAAAGGAATAGTACACCGAAAACATGATTAGCCTTCATTTTCTACTCACCCCCATGCTGAACAATACTCTGGAGTACTCTTTTGATATCTCAAATGCATCTGGAGATCTGGGAGGCTTCTTGCTGTCTGCTGACATTCAAATAATGGAGGTCTATTGTGCCCGAGACAGAAAGGTCCATAAAAGTCCACAAAAAAACGTGTCAATATTCCTCCATACTGCTCGTCCAATGTATTCCAAGTTTCCTGAGTGGGTAGCATCCAGAATTTACTCGAAACGAAGTCATTTAGAATGTTTTTAGAGCATAAACAGTAGTGTATAGGATTTCCTGAAAGCGCGCGCCTGCACGTTCACAACACTACGGAAGCCGGCAGACCAAACCAGATGAAAGTGCGCATTCAGCGTCTGCTCTGCCGATAATGCAAGCCTAGAAGAAGAAATGTGCTGTTTACCTGTGCAAAGAAAGAAACAACGAAAGAAAAATGTCTGAGGACTTCAGTGTTGAGGAAGAGCATGAGTTCTTTGCCAGCAGACAGCAAGAAGCCTCCCAGATCTCCAGATGCATTTGAGATATCAAAAAAGTACTCCAGAGTGTTGTTCAGCATGGGGGTGAGTAGAAAATGAAGGCTAATCATGTTTTCGGTGTACTATTCCTTTAACAGGAAGTGCAATAACTGTTGAGGGTGCTGTAATTTGATAAAACCCAGTATATAGGAACTTTTGCTCAAGGTTCTCCAGATTTATCTGTTTGTTTTTTCAAACCAATACTTTCCAGTACTCCGAGCAGGCCACTCACCAAGCAGAGGAAATCTTTCGTGCTGTGGAAGTTGGCTGTACGTTTTATCTTGGGGAACTGAGAAGGAATTTAAGAACAAAGAAATACATTAGATGAGGACACATGTGAAAACAATTTGATGACTTTGAATACTTCAATATTAATATTATTTACAAACCATTTTGAATGATGACGGATCGGTGCGGTTCAAGTCTTTCCCATACTGTAGACAAAACAAGAACGAAGCGTTGTAAGTATTAGGCGATTCCCTTGAGAATGACCTTTAATACATGCAAAAACAATGAAAATATGCTTGCTTTAATCAAAACTGTTCCACATTTGAACTGAGGTTAATTTTTACCTTCCAAGAAATTGGAATGGTCAACAGAAAAGAATATGGAGTGCGGAACGTCAAAAACCTAAAAGAACCACAAAACTGTATGTTAAAGTAAAAGCACTTAAAGGAAAAGCACATTATCACGTTCATTGGAAGCTGTAGATATTCACATCTGCTGAGAAATCAGTGGTTTACCTTCAGAGTGATCGTATCTCTGCTCTGTTCCACCTCCTCCTTCCATGTGGTTGCCTTCAGCGCTGTGTAATCCAGGTTAGCGTCCCACGCAAAAGGCAGCTTCCAGGGATTCTGACACAGCTAAGAAGAAAACAACAAGCCGGTCATTTTAATACATGTTATAACAGAGTTAAAATGTTTTCTCAAAGTAAGTTTAAATCTTTTCATGCTTTACCATAAACATTAAACTCATAATCAAAGAAGAAAGTATTCACACAGGTTAGGAGGCCTTAATAAGAGTCATGTATAGATTATGTAATGGATGCAGTCTTGAATCATTAAAAATATATCTATGATCTTAAAGGATTAAAATAAATTAAGTGCCCAAATAGGGTTAAGATAAATATGACTGCTACAAATGAAAGTTACCAGGAAAATGAGTACTTCATGTAGTAAAAGTCGCTTCAGCTACTAAGAGAAATTAAGAAAAAATAAATAAACAACTTGTTCTATTAGATCTTACCTGTGTGTTTATGATGTGCTTTTTGGAGTCAAAATGATCCCCGAGTTCAGACTGAGGAAAGGACATCAGACAAGCAAAGCATAGATAAAATGGTTTTGCCTTTGTTTGTGACGCAATGCACGTCACAACCAGTGATGTTCCTACAAACAAACAGAAAAAAAACACAAAAATAAAATATTAAAACTTTTCTACGTTTCCGGTATATCACAGTACGTAAATATAGAGCTCCCTTACCGACAATAGGCCGATTTGCCTTCAGACAGCTCAAGGCATATGGAAAAATGCCCAGAAAAAATTGTCCTATCAAGACAAACATTTTTTAAAGACAGCAGATTTTTAAAGTGAGAGAATGTAAAGCTGAATCTTTGCTTTAGTTAAGATTTAGATTTAGTAAAGATTTTGATTGAAGTTGCAGGCAGACATTGCTGATGGACAAATTCTTGTAACTATTGGTTTACAGCTTCAAAAAATTGCTTGCATTATCACAATATCTGCATTATTGATGACATTATGCATTCAACTTCCAACTGATCTTTGTTTAACTAATAAAAACTACATCAATCTACATCAAACCCCAACTATAGCCAATATAACAACAAAGTCACTAACTACTACCAAGTGTAGAAATAAACAGAGGAGAAAGATTAAAACTACCTGATTGCTCATAGTCATCATTTCTCCCAGCTGTAAAGGAAAAAATATCTATATTTAAATTATATAAACACACAGAACAAGTATTTCGATTTGATGAAAGTGAAATTTACCTGCAACAATAGGTTCCTCCATATTCTGTGGATGATTCAAATTTTTAGGGGGTCCAATATAACAACTTATATTTTTTTAGAATTTGGGGTAAAATAATGGGGTAAAAATAATGATTTACCATCACATGTTCTTCCCAGGATAGGTGTTTAAAAAACTTGTGGAAATTGGTGCATTTGTAACTGCAGTTCTTTGTAATAGAAAAGAAAGCACAAGAAAATAGGAAAAATATTAGTTTTTGTTTACAAAAGCTTCTTTGCCACAAACTACTCAGCCCAGTTCCACTCCACTCAAGACATTTTGTGAGCAGTCCTGTTACAGTTTTTGTTTTTTTCCTCCTGTACTTGACTGGATTTATTTAAAATCATGCTAAGAAGCTGGTACGAATAGAGCCAATAACATCAAAAAGTGACATTTAGAGAATCTTGTTCTCCGACCGGCCACATGAAGATAAACGGGAATGCTTTCCCTGATAACGTGCAAGAACAACTCATGACCATTACAGTGAGGTTAAGAATCCCAATGAACGGAGGTCAACCCAACATATAATTGCAGTATTTACTAATCATCATCTAAAGAAAAGAATAAAAATACATTTCAATAGCTGCTGTTCTCTTCACCTTTCCCTAACCCGCACAAGGGATCGTCACCCTAACAGGATAATTGCTCTAGTACAATGGCATAACTGTTAAAAACCACTAGGTTGACAACCCTCTGTGGCAGTGTTAATTTTGTTGACGAAGACTATGATGAAAAAGGCAAAGGTATCATGATTGATCACCTGGCAGCTTAGTGAGCATCTGACCCTCTGAGTTGATTGAGCAGTGTCCTGCTTCTTCGGTTGATGCTCTAAAAAAGGGGGAAAAATACACAAAAAAAATAATAATTTCAAACACTAATAAGTTAAGACATTTAAAAAAGACTCATTCTTTTTATATTATCAACAGAGAAGTGTGTGACAGATCCACACAAGGCTGATGTTATACATACCAAGCTTGATCCCTGGCTTAATGCTAACCGTTAAGCTGCTTTTCGTGATGTTTTCCACGCTCTTCAAAGCTAAATAGATAAAAAAAAAAAAAAAAAGTTAAAATATTATCAGGTGAGAGTGGAATCCAAAGTTTAATTCGGACCATCTTTGTCCCCAATTGCAGTGACCGTTTTCTCTTCTACATTGGTTTTGTTGAAGATTAATGTTGGAGTTATTATGATTTCTGTTGTTTTTATCATTTTATTCATTTATATGTTTTATATTGCTCTCAATCATTTGTTTTTTTATATGTTAATCTCATCATTGGAAATAGTGTATGAAGGTCATAAGACGGTCCAATGTTTTGCAAGAATGATATCCTGTTTTTCATTTGAGAAACACAAGTAAAAGTTCATAACCCCGACACCTTTTATAAAGCGTATACTGAAACCAGACAAGTTCCCTATCTTAAAAGTTCATGCTATGTCTAAGAGATTGCGTAATCGAAACTAACGCCTGCTGTTGTAATGTGTTGACTGCTCAATAAAAAGTCCGGCAAGTGTCGAGCCAAGCGGAGATGCAGATTGATTCTTCAACCCTGCCTATCTCCCCTTTGCAAAGCACTGTCAGGAAAAATCTTGCACTGTCTTTATTTCATTTTTTATAGGTTAAAGTTGGGGAAACTTTACAACCCTAACAATTAATTTTTTTTATTTTCTGTTTTTAATAACTGTTACATCTGTTAAATTCTATATCTGTTCACTCTTCTTTGTGAGTTAGCCAAAAGGGATATTCTCATGCTGATATATGGTGGCCAGATTGACTCCAGCATCATCTTGTATAGTAATGCTGTAGAGTGAGAAGGCCTGAATGCTGACTGGGGGCTTTGGGAGGGAGACATGCTAGTTGAGTTTATATAAAAAGGGAAAGTGAGTGAGTGAGTGAGTGAGTGAGTGAGTGAGTGAGTGAGTGA